GTTTACAAAGTACTTTCACATATCTTTTCACATACAATCCTCAAATACAGTCCTATGAGTAAGATATCATTTCAATTATATTTTAGGTGGTTAAATGAAAGTATATTAAAGTGACTCCCTTATGTCACTCAAATAATGATGCTGGGGCTGTGATATAACCTGTTATCTGATGTCCACCTTTCCATCATCTTTCATTGACTGCTAGGGATCAAATAATCATACTCTGAGGCAGACAGGCTTGACTAATTATATTCCTGATTATAACAGAGATAATTTTAAGAAACAACTTTGGAATATTTTTCACTCATTATAAGAGTAAAGGACAAACGAGAAAAGAAAATGGCTGATTAAGATTTCTTAAAGTTACCTTAAAATTTTCTCTACAGTAACTGAAGTTTTACTGAGTTAAAAGTTTAATAAATTTGAAAGCATAAACAAAACAGAAAATCTTATAGTTTAAATTAGTAAAATGAAAATGCCCATTAAAAAGCCTCTTACATTTTAAAGAATCATTTTGGGAGTAAGAAGAATATCATCTGTAAAAATAAGTAAGGGACTACCCTGGTCGACTAGTGATTAAGACTCCATGCTTCCAATGCAGGGGGCACGGGTTCAATCCCTGGTCTGGCTAGTGATTAAGACTCCATGCTCCAATGCAGGGGGCACGGGTTCAATCCCTGGTCTGGCAGCTAGGATCACACACGCTGCAGTGGCAGAGCAAACAAACAAAACCAAACCCTAAGTAAATATTCTGTTATTTTAAAATTCCTAGAGAATTTTTTTTTTTTTCAAAACAAACTTGCTTGAGCCCTCTTCCTGGATGTTCTGAGATACCCTTGGGATGGAGGCAAAGAGGATGGAGAGGATGGAGCCAGAAGACGGTGGAGGACAGGAAGCCTGGCGTGCCTCAGTCCATGGGGTCGCAAGGAGTCAGACATGACTTAGCGACTGAACAGGAGCACAGTGCTTCTTACGCTGTGATGCCTCCAACCAGTCACCAGGGGACTTCCTTCCATTCTGGTTTACTGCAGAGTATGAAGTTCTAACAAGTTCCCAAATGATGCTGATGCTGATACTGATCCTGTGTGTCTATGGACCACATTCGAGTAGTAAGGAGTTAGAAAACCATGGGACCAGATACAAACCAGAATAGCCTGTTTATCATGTAGGTCACAGGATTAAATTTCTCGGCCATCATTTGGGGAGTAAAAACATAAAGCAAATCATATAATTTTATTAACATGAAAAAGTAAATATGAAAAACACTTATTATCATGCTTGAAAAATACTGCTTAAATAGTCAGATGAGCTCATCTATGAAAAAAAAGTGTCTAGAAGATTATGATAAAAGCTCAGGCTTAAGACAATTTAAATAATACCTAATATCCCACAGATCTAGTGTTTACATGTTATGAAGAGCTTGGTACCCAAACTGTTCTGTCATGTTTCTGCCCAGAGGCTGTCATGATAAAGTTTATTATCAATTACTGCTTTACAAGTATAAAATAAGTTAAGCTGTCATATTTTTCTCAGCCAGAGATCCTAAGTTGTCAAAGAATGTCAATTTTAAATCTGACACAGAGAAGAAAATTATCTGTTATTCTGACCTCTAATTTCTTGACATTTTAATGCTATAATTGCTGTGGTTAGTGCTGCTTCATGATTTCACCTGTCAAGGAAGAATGAATCAATAACCTTAAGACATTTTTCGAATTTTAGCTCTAACTTCAAAGTTCTAGGTAGACTGTGAGATGTGTATATATATATACACACATGCATATATATATATATATATATCTTTTCTATTCTCTTTTAGAAAAGGGACATATGTAGATTTTTGTATATCAAATCTCTCCTTTAAATCAGCATTTGTTAAGGGATTAAAAATTATCTTCTTTAGGCTAGTTGGAGCTTAGTATAAGATAACTACCACCTTCCTTTTGTTTCATCTTTGTGAAATAGAGTGATTTCACATTAAAAAAATACTAAGATAAACTTTATCAAATAAAAGGAATGCACTGAACTCAGTAAAAGGCTCACGTTTTGAACACTACTTTTCCCAAAAGCCTCTGATCATTTAGGTATAAAGCAACTCTCTCAAATCACAGCAGCACAGAGAAGACCTCCTGGAACTCAATGTTGATGTTTTGATGGAAGGCAGTGTGCCTTGCAGAGAGCCTCCTCACTGCATAGGGGCAAAAATGACCACCAGATAATGATTATACTATACTCTGTTCCACTTATCCACAGGGTTGGTTCTTTCTTGTGACAATAGATGCTAGATGCTTTTATGCTGGCAAACACGTTTGGTATTATCCCTTCTTTATGGAGAAAGCAATGGAAGTGGAGGGACACTAAATGACTTGGCCACATTAGAAAGCTCACAGGATTCAGGCAGGTTCTCATCTTTGCAGTTTCTTAAATATTAACTACAGAACTTATTTTGTGGAAATATGTTAGTTGTGGAGTAAAGGAGGTGAGCATGGGGAATGTGGAGACGGACAATTAACTCCTATTCCTTGCAAGGTCATTTCATCTGTCATATCTACAACGTACTAAGTGCTTCCCTAGTGGTCTTAAAGAGATAAAGCTCTCTTGAGTTGACCCAGGGCCACTGGGTAGGACGGGCTCCCCAGGTGGCTTAGTGAGTAAACAATGTGCCTGCCAATACTGGAGACACAGGAGACATGGGTTTGATCTCTGAGTCAGGAGGATCCCCTGAAGGAGAGCATGGCAACCCTGGAAAATCCCATGGGCAGAGAAGCCTGGTGGGCTACAGTCCATGGGGTCTCAAAAGAGTTGGACATGACTTAGCATCTAAACCACAAGACATCGGGTGGTCAGGGCCAGTGCTCTTCTGGTGTGTGGGTGAGCCCATGCCGCCTGGGGGAAATAAGGTAACAGTGTTCCAACTACATGCTGTCTCACCTAGTGTTTTGAGAACCAACAGAAGAGATTTTGGGTGAGAGAGGTGGGCGAGGGGCTTAGGTAGGGAGCACATACATGGCACCGAGTGACTCTGGGAGTTTCTCTGATGGAACCTCAGTGTGCAGCAATTATGCCCTCACGCTGGGAAAGCTGGAACCCCTTCCCAACAGTTTTTTTTTTTTTTTATATTACTCTCTTTCATGTAATGTTTCACAGAGATTTTCTACAGTTTGACAATTACATATGGCTTTTTTTTTTTTTTTTTTTTTACTGTCCAAAGCAATGGTGTGTTACTTTGTAGTAGCAGGTATTTTTATAGAATTCAAGTAATAAACACTATATCCACATTTAAAAAGTCTCAATCCTAATTTCATTTCCTGTTCATTCTCTCATTTATCTCTTTGTTCTCACTTAAATATGCTCAGTCACTCACTTGTGTCTGACTCTTTTCGACCCTATGGACTGGGGCCCACTAGGCTCCTCTCTGTCCACGGGATTTTCCTAGCGAGAATATTGGAAAGGTTTGCCATTTCCTTCTTCAATTTAAGTTGGAAAGATCAGCTATTTTCAGTCAGTTTTAATGCTGCTGTGTATTTTCATTATGCACAATATGCTTAAAATATTTTTATTTTGCTCAAAATGATCAACTTGCAACTTAAGGACAGCATATTATAATGGATGAAAATGTACACTAAGATATTCAGGAGCAAAAATGTTTATGGTATTGAAAAGTCAATAAACAATTTGGAGTTGGTCTTGCTACAAAAGGATAAGCTACTCCAATTCTTTTCTCTTTTTTTTTCTGATTCTAAAGGTACTGGTTCTGAAAAGAGAATATAGTGGTAAGGCATTTATAGCACTGAGTATGTGGTTAAGCACTGAGTATATTGTTAAGAGAATAATTAAGCTCAGAATTAGAATTCCCAGTTGTGAACAAACTATCAGATTATTTTGTAGACAAAATCCCTTATTTCACCAACAAATGTTCAAGTATCTGGCTCTTCTGTCACTCATTCTTTCTCTGTCCCTATCTCTTTCTTCCAGCTTCAGGCAATAGTTCCATTTCCTTGTGCATACAACATGGTAGAACACTACACCTAATAATATGCTTGCAACGTGTTCTCCGAATATTTAGCCCCGAGGGCTCAATGATCAAGGATCATGAGACTCTTCCCTTCCCTTTCCTCTTCTCTGCTTGAAGCCATACAAATAGAGCCATTTTTGTCTTTAGAGAAGTCTATAAGAAATAACTTTATGGATGCAAATTTTTCTTTTAGAGCTTTATTTCCCAAATCTATATGAGTTTTCCACCTCTAAAATTAAAAAATAAAAAAATAAAAAAGCATCCTAGTGACTGGAAATGTAGAAATGATTGCTTGTTTTGCATAGAGCAGATGGCAGATATCTGGTAGAATGGAAGACTGAGATACAGCTTCCTTGAAGCAAGACTCATCGAGCAGCTGTTGCATCTTCACTCTTTTCACCTATCTGAAATAATTTTGTGCAACGTGCAAGTGATCTAAATAATATATTTTATGAATATTTTCATAAAAAATACTTATACACAAACTATAGCATGTAATTCCCAACTGTTAGCTATAAAATTTCAGGGTGAGAAAGTGCAGGAATAACATACTATAATCTCATCTATTTTACTGATGCATCTTTTGAGTATTCTATCTAGCAGGCTGTAGTTCTGCTTTCATTAAAAAAACAGGTACTGGCAGGTTATTTTAATACAAACTATTCATATTTAAACATTCAATGAGGTTTCATTAATTCATAACACATAAGGTATTAAGCATTTCAATGAAGATTCTGAAATAAAACAAATAAAAGAGGGATACTAAAGTGCACTGTATATGTCTGCATTTCAGAAAGGAACTACATGGTAGTCTCATTACTTGTTTTTTGACATACAACACTCACTTTTCCACATTTGTCAAGAACTTGAAATCTATGTTTTATAAAATTTACATTGGAAGGAGATTTATGCAGGTGGAGATGGAGAGCCAAGTTTGTGTTGAAGGGAGGGCAGAAATTTTCAGAATAATATCCAACTTATTACCTACCTCCCTCAGCACAGGGTCAGTGATACTGTCCAGGTTCACAGAGCCTTCATAGGTTAGGTAGTGAAAAACATTCAGAGCCCGGACTGCTTCCGGTCCTCTCTGCTTGTATCCAAATACAAGGTCAATCCACTGATGGAGTTGGCAAGAAACAAATTCACTTTCCAGGGCCTGGAATCAGTCAAGACAGAGATAAAGAGACCATGAATATTTAGTAAATCTCCATTCTTCTTGGCTTGAAATATTATCTATAAATAAGTAGAATTCGTTCTTTGCCCTCCTGTATTTCACTTGTTTGGGTCAGACCTATTCTTAGAAATGACAAAGTACAACCTCTAATAAAACACAGACCTAAAATAAAATTTTCTTTTTAACTATTAAATGTATTAAATGACTTAACTGAATATGTGATGTGAATTTTAACATTAAATAGATTTCTTTAAAAAGACACATTCATGTTTAAAAGGAATTTGAAATGCCTGTTTTAATGCCATTCATAATAATTTCATTTTTAAACATTAGTTTCAATGTAAACAATTTCATTAGAAACTTTGATATATATTTACTTTCCTGCACAAAGTCTTCAAATTTACCTCTAACACTACTACATAGCAGAATGGCTTTCTGCTATGAGTTAACTCTGCTATTATACTGTTTAGGAACCTCTCAGTAATTTTAGGTATTTGCTAGCCAGTGGGAAATGAATGCAAATTACTGAGAGTTAGGGACTATAAGAAATTTCCAGAAAGAGTCAGGAAAAAAAAAAAGAGGCCTTTTCATTTCCTGAGAAGCCACCATAAGTGTCACAGAGGTACCCTGGCCGGCAGGCACGGAGCCCTGGTCACAGCCGTGGTGGAGCAGTGGCCATCACAGTGTGGCTCACTATGCCTCTCACCTCCTGCCCTCACTCATCATCAACTTCTTACTGATTTGAAGGGCACACCAATTTCAGCAACATGAGGAAAAAGCTGTAGCACTACCTTCTTAAATTTCAACTATGCAAAGCCATAGAAAACAATTTTTGCAATTACAGCTGTAACTGAATATGTGAATGAAGTCATTCTTTGGCTGCATGCCCCCTGATTTAGAAGGCGTTGAAATCAGCTTGGAATTCAATTAATAAATGGTTTCTTAAATTAGCCCTTTGATAATTATATTTCATTTTTTTAATCTAAAAATTATCTGAATGATACTTCTCAACTTTTCCTGTGATCATATTTTAAAAAATAGTCTTATTTATTTATTCATTTTTGGCTGTGCTGGGTCTTCGCTGCTGTGTAGGCTTTCCCCCAGCTGCGGTGAGGGTGCTGCTCTCCAGTTATGATGAGCGGACTTCTCACTGTCGTGGCTTCTCTTGCAGCCGAGCACGGGCTCTAGGGCGTGTGGGCTCAGCGGTTGCGGCTCCAGGGCACTGCAGCACAGGTTCGGTATTGTGCACGGGCTTAGTTCTCTGCAGAATCTGGGATCGCCTTGGATCAGGGATCGAACCTGTGTCTCCTGCATTGGCAGGTGGATCCTTGATCACATTTAACTAGTAACTTATTCCCATCAAACTCCATTTCTATTTACTTCAAAAATTTTGGTATTTTGTTTATACCAGTGATTATGAATGTTTCTCATTCAGAAATATAAACAGATTTTTTTAAAGCATAGCTTTCATACTAAAACTAAACTGAATTTCTATTCTCTGTATCTCATTGGACAAAACAGTTCAGACTAGAGAACAAGGGATGACAATACAAAACAGACATTGGTTAAAATCCCATATTGATTATGTTTATCATATTGGTTTGGTCAATTTGTATAAATGGGAAGTCAGTAATTATTCCGTGCATGTGCAATAAATGGAAGGATGAAAAAAAACAACAACAAATAAATGGAAGTTCATTATAGAGTAGCTATCGCACAAGTCTGCTCATTGGAAGTCAAACAGAAGTGAAATTCTTTAAAGGAAGATCTTACCAACATAATCACGTAATTAGCTCAGCAGTAACCATTTCAAATCAATCTTGTAGAGACTACTAGACATATTTGGAAGAAAGGGTCAATGAAATTTACTGCATTTGAATAAAACAATTACTGAACTAAATGCCTAATGCAACTATGAGAGTTGAAAGCAATGATCACTGTTTCCTAATTTGAGTTTTCAAACATTTATTTAGTATCTCCAACCGCTCCTTTCATTTTCCCTGCCATGGGCAATGCTATAAAGTTTTTAATGTTTCTCCTTTTGTTTGCATGTGTTTTTATAAAACATTATTCACGTAATTTTTTTTACCTTTTTTTTTTTAAACACATACACATTTTTTTTGGCGTGTATTTCTGACTCACAAAAATGGAGTGGGGTTATAGACTTCATTGTTTCTTACTTTCTTCACTTAGCCTTGTTTTTTAGGATCTAGCTGTGTGGCCAGGCATAGCTAATCCACTGCTCTTAGGGGCTGCTCAGAACTTCCCCAGCAGTGAGCACTAGACTGCCTCCAATGTGCCATGACACAATGCTCTGTGACGAATGTCCACTCCTGCGTCCCTGTCTGACTCTTTATGAGAATATCTTTGGGACTCATAACCTGGAGTAGGACTGATACATCCCTGTACTAGATGTGCATAAACCGAGTCTGAGTCATTAGTTAGATTGGCTGTTTCTGTCTCCACTCCCTCAAGCAGCGCATGAAGGTGTGTCTACATGGCCACATCCCAACTGACAACTGGTATTGTCCAGGTGCTTAATATTAGCCTGTGATACAGATACAAAACAGTATCTCACTGCTGTTGTAATTTGTTTTCCTCTGATTACTGAGGGGTTTGACATGTTTTTAATATGCTGTTGGCCATTTGGGTTTCCTCTTCAGTACATTTTCTGTTCATGCTTTTTGCCCATTCTTTCGTGAAAGTTCCTGTCTTTATGTTTTTTTTTGCAGAAATTCTTTATATATTTCAGGTGGTAGTTTGTTGGCATCAAATTTTGCAATGCATTCTCCCAAAGGTCACATGTCTATTAACTTTATCCATGTTGTTCTTTGTTGAATAGAAATTCTTAATTTTGAAGCAACAAAAGTTTTTTCTTTATGTTTATGATCTTGGGATTTTGTTTTAAAGTAACAAAGACAACTTTCTAGACTCTGATGTGCCAGCTGTGTTATAGTTATGGCTTTACTTTTCATATGCACGCATGCATGCTAAGTTGCTTCAGTCATGTCCAACTCTGCAACCTTATGGATTGCAGCCTGCCAGGCTCCTCTGTACATGAAATTCTCCAGGCAAGAATATTGGAGTGGGTAGATGTGTCCTCCTCCAGGGGATCTTCTCAACCCAGGGACTGAACCCGTGTCTCTTACATCTACCTGAATTGGCAGGTGGGTTCTTTATCACTAGAGTCGCCTGGGAAGCCCTACTTTTCACATACTGGCCTTTAATCTATCTAGAGTCCAATTTCACTATATGTGGCATTAGATCAGTTCAGTTCAGTTGCTCAGTAGTGTCCAACTCTTTGCAACCCCATGGACTGCAGCACGCCAGGCTTCCCTGTACATCACCAACTCCCAGAGCTTGCTCAAACTCATGTCCATCGAGTCGGTGATGTCATCCAACCATCTCATCCTCTACTATCCCCTTCTCTTCCTGCCTTCAATCTTTCCCAGCATCAGGGTCTTTCCCAATGAGTCAGTTCTTTGCATCTGGGGGCCAAAGTATTGGAGTTTCAGTGTCAGCATGAGTCCTTCCAATGAATATCTGGGGCTGATTTCTTTTAGGATGGACTGGTTGGATCTCCTTGCAGTCCAAGGGGCTCTCAGGAGTCTTCTCCAACACCACAGTTCAAAAGCATCAATTCTTTGGCACTCAGCTTTCTTTATAGTCTAACTCTCACATCCACACAGGACTACTGGAAAAATCATAGCTTTAGACTAGACAGACCTTTGCTGGCAAAGTAATGTCTGTGCTTTTTAATATGCTATAGAGATCCAGTATAATTTTTGTTACTATAGTAAGTCAGTTTTTCCAAAACCGTCTATTAAGCAAACACACCTTTCTTAAGCAATGTCCGCTTTCATCTTTAGTGCTTGTATATTTGAAACAAAGATATAAAGCTTATAATATTCTTCCTATTAATAGAAAAAGCAATACAACCCTTCTTCCCTTTCTACCTTCCTTCTTTTTGCTTTTGCCCTCTTCTATCTATCATCTACCCACCTATGTTCCTACCTGTTATCTATCTGTCTAGACATGTGTGTGTCTCCAGCTCTTTGATCCTGTTAGTTCTACTGCTATCTTAATTTGTCTTTATTTCTTGGATACCTTAACACCTGGTGGATTCGCTCTTTTACGAGCCAGCTCGGCTATCTGTGGGCCTTCATTCCTCCTTGCGGGCTTGCCTCCCTGGTGGCTCAGTGGTAAAGGATCACCTGCCATGCAGGGAGCCTGGGTTCAGTCCCTGGTTGGGAAGATCCCTTGGAGAAGGAAATGGTGAGCCACTCCATTATTCTTGCCTGGGAAACCCTACAGACAGAAGGAGCCTGGAGGGCTGCTTCCATGGGGTAACAGAAGAGTCAGACATGACTCAGTGACTGCTGCTGCTGCTAAGTCGCTTCAGTCGTGTCCGACTCTGTGCGACCCCACAGACGGCAGCCCACCAGGCCCCTCTGTCCCTGGGATTCTCCAGGCAAGAACGCTGGAGTGGGTTGCCATTTCCTTCTCCAATGCAAGAAAGTGAAAAGTGAAAGTGAAGTCGCTCAGTCGTGTCTGACTGTTCACGACCCCATGGACTGCAGCCCAGCAGGCTCCTCTGTCCATGGGATTTTCCAGGCAAGAGTACTGGAGTGGGGTGCCATTGCCTTCTCCTGGACTTAGTGACTAAGCAACAACAATTCCTTCCTGCGACTTTCACAATAAGTGTGTAGATACATCAAAATAATTTTGATTGAGATTATGATAAATTTATAGGTTAATCTGAGAAAACTGATATTAGGTTTTCCCATTCATGGTCTCAGAATGTCTCTTTATTTAAACAGATCGCTTTATTAGATATAGAAATTAACATTTTCTCTATAAAGTGTGGTGTCCCAAGGGTGAAAAAACAGAAAAAATATACCCAAAGAGGGCCTTGGAATGCAGGAATAGAAAAAACAAGACCCTTACCATCCATCCCTCCCTCATGTTGTTAACTATTAACG